TCTTTATGCTAATTATGCCGTATCATATGGTTTGCCTATTTTGACAGTTGTGATTAATTTTTTTGTTTACACTGGATTTATTTGGACTTACTTGCCACACTGGCCATGGCACCCAATCATACTGCAGTATTTATCATGTGACTGCCCTTTTTTTTCGCCATCACTGACTCATTAGTACTAACCCCTCCTCCGTAGATTACAAAAGGCAAGAATAGCTTTATCATAACACCCACTTATTAGAGATAAATTCAAAGATATTACTTGTCCAAGACCAAACTATGCTAGAAATAAATAAAATATTTAACCTAAATTTTCTACATTATTTCAACACCCATGAATTTTTTGCTGTCATTAAGCCCTCTGTCTACATTTTAAACAGACATTGCTAGCTTTTCCAGCTTTTAATTTGTAAAACTAAAATATAATAATAAAAATTACTTAGTAAAAACAATGTTTATCTGTGATTGTTGTAAATTAGAAACAGTACTGGTTTGTATTTCTACAGAATTTTTAGGCAAATGAATGGGAATACTGTACCTTCTTTTTTTTGTAAAATTACATTACTATGAACCAACCATGATATTATAATTGAATGCATCCTCTGTGATGTGGTTAATCTCATTGAGACGGAATAATTAAGCTATGAGTATCAGATTTAGGAGAAAGTATCTTTTGTATGCTGTCATTAGACCTAATGCTAAAGCATTTTGTGTTTCCGTACAGTCAAAGCTCATTATAATAATAATAGACAGTTGGGCACAACCCATGGACTCCACACTAACTATAACGTGCATGATTTGTTATAATGGACTTCTTAATTATTGCACGCGTAATTCCATTATAATGCGATATTTTCTATAAATTCACTTAATGGTAATGTCGTCAGAAGATTCCTTGTGTCACAATCTTTATTGCACTCAACAAAAATAATAATATCAATCGTTACATGACATGATATATGTCATATATTACAGCAAAAAAGCTTATTTAACGATAAAGCTATCCGCCGCAGTTGTTTCTTTGAATGAAAACTTCACAGATCAATTCGCCTCTTCTTCATCCAATCCCCTAAATTATCCGTAATGCTATCAATAAAGACTACTTCATGATCACCATCATCATCAAGACGTAAATATTTTTCAGCATTTATCGGATCCGTGAAAAAAGTTTTATCGATTAAGACTTGAATTGAATTACGTTCTTCAAATACAGACAAGGAACGTCCTCTTTGCTTTTGCTATTAAGACTGCAGAGACAGTTTTTTCTTTGATTCCGTACTTCGATGCAAGTTTGTTGGTGTAGGCTTTTTCTCCTTGTCAAAATATAGTTGACATTTGTTAAAGATATTCTTTTAGACATATTATTAGCCATTTCGTATATTTCCATTATCGTGTGATTAATTGTGTTATAGACTGATTCATAAAAAGTTCCATTATAGCTATAATAATAACGCAATTACTATACAGTAAGAATCTATTATAACAAGCAATTTTTAATATTAAAAAAATTGTGGTTTAAAAAAATTTCTCTTATAATGCGATTCCATTATAACGTAGTCCTATTTATATTGTGACGAGCTTTGACTGTAAATGCTTGCACGAGAACTCAACAACAAGAATGAGGTGACATGTTGCCAATCATGAAAGATGTTGCTCATAGAAAGGTTGTATAAGCCTGCTGGCTATATTACCTCATTTCTATGCTCGATTTCTTAAATATAAAGAATTTATGGCAATGAATGCATGAATTATACTTATATACCAGCCACTCCTGAACAAACAGAAGAATAAACAAAGCTTTACAATCCACCAAGATAATGTCATTGCTCAAAAAAGCAAAGTACTGTAGTTTCTAAATTACATACTAATACAGTTATTGATGCGGAAATCCTGTATTTGCAGTTTTATTAGCTGTCATACAAAATTGACCAATGCAATTGCGAGGGATCTGCTCCGCTTTAGACATGCCCTTAATATTAATTTAGATTCTGAAACTTATCTCAAATCAAAAAATTATTATGAACAAAGTCGAACAAAAGTTAAGCTATAATAATTTTTTATATTTCCATGCGATTGGAAAAGAATAAATTGATGAACGAAAGAGAAACCTAGCAAATGGTGGTGAAGATATTGACAATGAATTAGAAAAAGTACCAAAGACAACACATTGACTATGACGAGGACAAGCAGACAGTATACTTAAAAGAGATGGACACGAGGAACTTGGATTCCAATTTATGAGAAAGTATAGTCAATTACCTTTTCGAAAAAAAAAAAAAAAAAAGACTTGTTTACTAATACTAATTGATCAGCGACTTTTGTGCTACATTACATAGTCACATGATACAAATTTTTTTTATCAAATTACTGATCAACCAATAACATTTTGATATAGGTAACAAGACCCGCAGTGGGGGTTGAAATAATAATTTTCTCTGCTCAGCCATATATGGTGATGGCGATGTCATACTGATTACATCATCTATTCCCGCAACAAATGATGCAAAAACTAACATGCAGCTGAAATTCTGATTGGTGCAATGGAAAAGGGGTATTTGCTACTTTCCCACTCTGATTCCCACAAATAGCCTCATCCCGACTCCCATCCCCCCCCACGCCATCTTGAACGTCACCCACAACTCTTCCCTTTGCTGCCGTCACTCACACAAAAACGACGACGTCGTCAAAAATTGCTTGACGAAACGCGACTTTGGAATAATCTACTATTAACACACCATAACAATTGCTCTTATCTTTAATTGGGTCAACTTGATTATTTGTTCATACTTTACTCTAAATATTAATAATATTCAGCTGACTTAATAGTATCTATTTAATATATGATAGATACTTCTTTAGAGTAACGTAAAGTAGATAATGTCGCAACAAGACGCTACCCAAGTACAGACACAGACTGCGGTTGCTGACGACAGCACTTCAAGCATGCCTGCCAAAAATGTATCCAATGCAAATGTCACAAGTATCAACGCTACTACTATCATTGAACATTCTCAACAGCAAAGTTCAACACAACCAGAGAAGACTTCAAATCCTTTGAAAAGAGTCCTTCCCACTGACGGTGCGGAAAGAAGTGACAATAAGCGGAAAGCAAGTCCAAGGAGGAGTATTCGTGAAGCAATCAGTGACTCGGCTGCTCTCGCTGATAACGCAGCAGCAGCAATACTCACAAACGTCAATAATTCGTCAACACAACAAACCTCTACTTCCCAGACAGTCCCTGACCCTACACAAGTCATGCCCAATCATCAACAATTTGCCGAAGTTATATCTGCCGCAACAAGTTTAGCTAACCAACTAAATGCTCCTATCGCTGTTGCTCCCATGCCAAACATGAACGCATTGACGAGTAATGTCATGTCTAGTCAGTCTCAAGGAATACCTGCAAATATGGATGAATTCTTACAAAATGCTGCTGCTGTTGTACAGGCTGCTCAGGCTCAGCAAATCCAACCGGAGGCAAGCCCAGGCGGTAAACGTAATACTAGTTTACGCAATCTAACCAATGATGAGCGTCGTCAACGACGTCTACTGCGCAACCGTGTTGCCGCAAAAGAATGTCGTCGTAAGAAGAAGGCTTATGTGGCCGAGTTAGAAGAGAAAGTTGCGCGTCTTGAAACTGAAAATAATCGACTTCAGAAACTGGTTGAAGAGCTAAATGCGAAAATAACATTAAGTGCTATGCGTATTGATGACAATGTTCGATTAATCAAAGAAGTTGAAGAGCTCAACACAAAACTTGCAATGAACGCTGCTATACAGCAAGAAGCTAAGAGAGTTGAAGGGTCAAAAGAATCGACAGAATCAAAGCCGTAGCCGCATTTGCATTTTAAGTATTAATGTGATTCTTCCTTATAACTGTTATCTTGTAGTATATATCATACTACATTAGCATTATATTAGAGACGTCGTATATGAGTAGTCTGTTAAAAGTCATAGTGTCTGGACAATTCTCACGGCCGCGATCAGTATCGTCTCTTCTGGAATTGATCCAACTTGGCGTGATTGAGTATATGTACATGTATATACACTTATAAGTAATCAAGTAGTTACTAGCTTATATGCTTT